AGGTTCATAATCCCAGAGAAATTATTTTTGTCTCCGAAGGCCTCAGACCTCCTCCCTCTGGACCCTTTTTTTTTGTTTGTTTGTTTTTAAGATTTTATTTATTTATTCATGAGAGATGGAGAGAGAGAGAGAGGCAGAGACACAGGCCGAGGGAGAAGCAGACTCCATGCAGGGAGCCTGACGCGGGACTCAATCTCAGATCTCCAGGATCACACCCTGGGCTGAAGGCAGCGCTAAACCGCTGAGCCACCCAGGCTGCCCTCCCTCTGGACCCTTTGAACATCTGCAGCTGGACCTCATTCAATTGCCACTTAGTATGGGTTGTCAATATGTTCTTGTTACTATTTGTAAGGCTAATGCCCTCACAATGGCAAAGAAAGTGTCAGAGAATGTGTTTCCCACTTGGGTATACCTTCCACAATCTCCAGTCATCAAGGCACCCGTCTTACTTGGCAAATCATATGAGGCTTAATGAAAACCTTACAAACTTCTTGGAATTGCCATTGTCTTTATCATCTGGAATCATCAGGCAAGGTTGAGAGAACTAATGGAATCTTAGTGTCTAACCTTACTGAAATCACTGGACTCACCTGGCTTAAGGTATTGCTTTTGGTCTTCCTGACCATTTGCAGCACCCTCTTTGGGAAACATAAACTCACTCCATAGGAGATAGTCACTGGCAGACCAATGTCTTATACAATCTTCTGCTGATCCCTTGTTGTCTCATGCTAGTATCACCAGCTACTGTAACTCTTTACTGTCTGATGCTCAAGCATATCATCAACAGATTAAAGAAGATTTCCCTGATCCCAATTCAAGGTCACGGTCTAGAGCCTGGTGATATTCCAAAAGCATCATCAGAAGTAGACAGCCCCTGAGCCACAGTAGAAGGGATCCTACCAAGTACTCTTGACCACTGATACCATCTATAAAACTAAAGGGCACAGAGCCTTGGATACACATCCCACAGCTAAAGGAGGCTCCACTTGACATCTGGTCCTGTACAGATGCTGGAGACTTCCAAATCACATTGATGAGGAAGGAAAGCATCTGGCACCAAAGTAGACTGCTTCTTCCCAAGACACTGATTAACACTTCACACTTTGACCAACCTTCTTCTTCTCCTTCTTTTTTTTTCTTCTTCTCTTTCTTTTCTTTAACATTGACCAGGAAAGAGAATTCCATTCTCTATATTTCCCAGTCCACTGCTAAGGGAGGCTAACTTTCAGATTACTAGATTCGTCATGATGAAAGAGGCCCCCTGGCCTTCCCTGTGGCCAATTTCTCTTATATTTCCAATGTCACCACAAACTATAGTTGACCTCTGCTTAGAAGTATGTATCCAAGTAGACACATTTACTTATGTGAACCTTTGTACATTTGCACCCCCACATTCCTGTGACTATCAAGATCAGATCTGCCCCCACTCATGGAGAGACCTCACCAGTAGGACCCATCTTTGTCAGGCACTTAGGATGACTTTTTATTTCAGGCTAGGCGATTCTCTTCTCATATGCACTAGAAACCTGACTGACCCCTAGTGTAGGAGTAAACACAAATGAGACTATGATCAGGAACTTCTTAATTCTTGGAGACATTGCAGATTGCATTGCTAAGACACTAGCTGCCCCGCAAAATCCTTAGACTTTCTGGCCAAAGTTGTTTTTGATAACAGGATTATCTTTTAGCTGAGGAAAGAAGGGCCTGTGCTGTGGCCAACACCACATGCTGCACCTAGATTAACACTTCTGGGGAAGCTGAAACTCAGTTACATAACATCACTGAGCAAGCCACTTGGCTTAAAAGGTGACTCTCACCACTGAGTCATTCTTTGATTGGTTTGGTCTCGGGGACCATGGCTCCAAAGTGCATTTCAAACATTGGAAATTATGCTGCTTATGTTATCATAATAGTCTCTCTGATGTGTTCCATTCTTTCAAAAGCTTGAAATGCATGTTTGTAGCTGCTTATCACCAAGCAAAAGATCTCCCTAAGACTGGAACATCAAAAAAGAAATGAAGAGAAGGACAGGGTAAGAAATTGTGAACCTAAAGTCGTGACCTGTGAACACCATAGAGATTCATCAACAAAACAAAACAAAACAAAACCCCAGGATCAACAAAAGCTTTTAAAACTACAAAGCACTAGCTGAGAGGGCACTGATGCCTTATATTTTGATCACACTTTTCAGTTCAGCTGACAGTTTCATGAAGGGGAGGTAGGGCTATTTGTTAAAAAGAAATAACAGATCCAAAATGGAGTCACTTCTGTTAAGCCCAACAAAGATTTAATACCTAATCTAATTGTAGTTTCGGCCTCTCTCACTAATGGGTTTTTAAACCAGTCAGTCTGGAATTCCCTGATGAGCACTGGTGAGGTACTCTGCATAAGATCCCTGCCCTTCCCCCTAAGAAAGGTGACCTTGTCTGGAACAATCTTTTCTTTTGCAATAATTTCTCTGGCCCACTCCATTTCTGCCTATAAAAGCCATCATTTTTATACAACTTCTTGGAGCACATTTCTATTTGTTAGACAGGATGGTGCCCAATTCGTGAGTCATTGAACTAAGCTAATTACACCTTTAAATTTATTGGGTTCAATGTTGTCCTTTAATAGATTTTAACTTCAAAGGGCATGACAATCAGAAAAGATTTGATCTAGTCCCAACATCTTTGGGGTATTTATATATCCTTTGGGTTTACCTTTCATTTATTTGAATTTTAAAATTGGATAGATAAGTTTATGTCATTTTAATTCAGTTCTTTAATAGGATTTCACCTTCCAAATGAACTCCATCAAGAACAGACAAAACTCATGCCACCAACAAGAAAACCATGTCACCATACTGACTGCCCCTGATCAGCATCCTATCACTCCTGTGTCTTATGAATTGGGATGCCATAGTCAAGTGGCACCAACCAAAATGCACAGGGTAATTCAATCTTTAGGAATTACAAGACTGGGATCCCTGGGTGGCGCAGTGGTTTGGCGCCTGCCTTTGGCCCAGGGCGCGATCCTGGAGACCCGGGATCAAGTCCCACATAGGGCTCCCAGTGCATGGAGCCTGCTTCTCCCTCTGCCTGTGTCTCTGCCTCTATCTCTGTGTGTGTGTGTGTGTGACTATCATAAATAAATAAAAGTTAAAAAAAAAAGGAATTACAAGACTGTGATTTATAAAAATCACTATGGAACAATCTCTCATTGTTTTGACTCCTTCCTGTCTAAGCTGTTGGATAAACAATCTTTTACTGCAACACATACCCATATTTGCAAAATTTAAACATTACTTCTTTTACATGAGTTGACTGTCACCATTTTGTAAACATCTTTACTCATATTCACCATCAAAATGGAATATTTGGGGGGTGCCTGGGTGGCTCAGTTGGTTAAGTAACTGCATTTGGCTCAAGTCATGATCCCAGGTTCTGGGATTGAGCCCTACATCAGGCTACCTGCTCAGTGGGGAGTCTGCTTCTCTCTCCCTGTTACCCCCCCCCCCACTTGTGCTCTCGCTCTCTCTCTCAAATAAATAAAATATTCAAAAAAATGGAATACTTTTGTGAAATTCCTTAAGCCTTTAAGAATTAGTCTTTAAGAATATATTTCTAAAAAGAGAACTTCTAGCCATCTTAAAAGAATAAGTTTTACAAAAAAAAGAATAAGTTTTACAACTATTTTTTGTTTTACAATATTTAATTCATTGAAAATTATTCATTCATTCATGTTTTATTATTTTTAAGTGCAACTGGAATGTATTAAATTCACATAAACTTAGATATTTTGCTCCAAAACCATACCTCAATAATTCTACCGAACTTTATTTACATTATTTATAGGCTTATATAAGCCTCTCATGCTTATAAATTTGTATCATGCTGGGATCCCTGGGTGGCGCAGCGGTTTGGCGCCTGCCTTTGGCCCAGGGCGCGATCCTGGAGACCCGGGAATCGAATCCCACGTCGGGCTCCTGGTGCATGGAGCCTGCTTCTCCCTCCTCTGTGTCTCTGCCTCTCTCTCTCTCTCTGTGACTATCATAAATAAATAAAAATTTAAAAAAATAAATAAATTTGTATCATGCTTACATCTAAAAATAAGAATTTCATATCCTACTACTAGAAAATATAAAAATGACCATCCTTTCTGTCTCAGCTTTCCAATCTAAAGGGGGCACTCAGTGAATGATTACTGAATGAATGGATAGGCAAATTTGTATAGCATTTTACTTTTTTTTGGAGTGTTTTCACATCATTACCTGGGAGAAGTTTTGGACCTATTGTAAAAGAGAAGAGGTTCACAAATATTCTTATCAGGGTTCTGTTCAAGTGTTGCATCATTATTTCTAAATTTCTAGGACTACGAGCATATTCTTTCTGTTAGGTACTTGTACACAAGAGTTGGACAGGCACAGAGTTTATTTGCCATAAAATTAGAGCACATCCTTGTTACATGTGTTTGTTGCTTTGTGATATCAATTGACCGTTCTTAACCTTTGTCCTTTTTCTCTCAAACAAATCCTACAATTCTGCTGAATTGGATAAAGAAGTTTCCCAAATGCAATTTTGAATTTTTTAACATTCATCCATTGCTAACAAAAAACAAGCTTCACATTTAGTTCCTCAAAGAGAACCCATGATGCTATATTCATTCTGAGTACTGAAGTGGTCCTACCGGGTCACACCACCCTTTGAACAGCCAAACTATCCATAGGATTGATTGTTCTAAGAATGCTAGGAATATGATGAGTGGTTGTTCCTTCTTTAGAGACATTGTGTCTACCATAAGCTAGGAGATTTCAAGTCTTACTTATTACATATCCAATGTGTGTATGTGTAACCCCATATAATGGCTTAGCTTTCTCATAGCTGGGTTCAATATGCAAGCAGTAAGACTTTCTGGAGCCTCTGTTTCACCCAGAGACTCTGGCTTTAATAAGAGGTAGCAGTTGTACTGTGCTATTTTTTAGATCAGATGATCAAATGTCATGATGCATATACACATACCTGTTCCTGTAGCTCCCTTTTAAAATTCTCACCTTGAGCTTTACATGAGACCTTGGGGTCAAGCAAAGGTTCATCTGCTCTTTGCTTTTTCCATAACTTGGTGTCCAGATACCATGCTCCATACCTCATCTTCACACACTTTGCATTATGAGGATTCTACAGAAAATAACATAATTCCCAATTTCATTAGTTTTTTTTATGTTTGTCATTTCAATAAATCTAAGATTTAGCTTATTAAAGCAGTAGCATTTATTTTTATTTTTTTTAAAAATATTTTATTTATTTATTCATGAGAGACAGAGAGAGAGAGAGAGAGAGAGGCAGAGACACAGGCAGGAAGCCCGATGTGGGACTCAATCCTGGGTCTCCAGGACCACACCCCAGGCTAAAGGCGGCACTAAACCGCTGAGCCACCGGGCTGCCCAGTAGCATTTATTTTTAGCTTATGATTGATCTTGTCAAAGTATTTCATGAGGTTTTAGTGTGCTTCAATTTACAAAGGTACCCTGAAAAGTTCATGAATGAGAAAATAATGTGATAGTTAAGTATGGCCTTTGGACTTAGACAAACCTGGGTTTAAATCCAACCTCCCTTACTTAGTATCTAGGAGTCCATGGGAAAATTACTTAATTCTTCATCTGTAAAATGGAGAAAAGAGTATCCACTCCATAGGATTGTAGGAAAGATCAAAGGAGAAAGTTATGTAAAGCAGCTAGAAATCATATAAAAATCACATTTCACTGAAGGGTAATGACCTTAAACACAACACTGTCCACCAGGGCACCTGAGTAGCTCAGTCAGTTAAGCGACCCGCTCTTGATTTCAGCTCAGGTCATGATCGCAGGGTCCTGTGGTCAAGACTCATGTCAGGCTCACCACTCACCGCTCACCCTCCTCTTCCTCTTCCTCTGCCCCTCACCTAGCTCCCACACAGTCTCAGTCATCTTCTCTAAAATAAATAAATTTAAAAAACAAAAAACAATACTCAGCCAACCAAAATAATGAGTTATAAACTTACTATTGGCCCAGCACCGTGTTCAGCCTGGTAATTGCTATACTACTTTTGATCAAAATGCTATCCAGCAATAGCAAAAACAACAAATATGTTATCCAACACCAATCTCGTGCCTCTAATTGGAAGAGAGAAAGAAAAGAATAGATGGCATTCCTTTCCTTCTTCCATTCCTCAGTAGTGCATGGAGGATGTAAAGAGATCTGCTGGGTCATAGCCTGGTAGTGTGGATGTAACACCCACACACTGTCTTATCACATGTGGGGGTCTAATTCTTGAGAGAGGCAAAGGTATGACACCACAAAGATTCTGCCCCTTTCATCCTCTGAAATATAAGCTTCAGAGATTGTTCCCAGATACAACTCCCTGACATCTAGAATAATATTTCAGACATAATAGATGCTCAATAATATTTGCTGAATTAAAACTGAGTTGCTGGGGATCCCTGGGTGGCGCAGCGGTTTGGCGCCTGCCTTTGGCCCAGGGCGCGATCCTGGAGACCCGGGAATCGAATCCCACCTCGGGCTCCCGGTGCATGGAGCCTGCTTCTCCCTCTGCCTATATCTCTGCCTCTCTCTCTCTCTGTGTGTGTGACTATCATAAATAAATAAAAAATAAAAATTTGAAGAAAAAAAAAACAACTTAAAAAAAAACTGAGTTGCTTCACTTGGCATTATTGACACTTTGGGCTGGATAATCCTTTGTTGGGGGGTCAGGGAGGGTGCTGTCCTATGCATTGTAGAATGTTTAGCAGTATCCCTGGCCTTTGCCTACTAGATGCCAACAGCAGTGCCTCCCCCAAGTTGTGACGACCCAAAATGTCATCTTCAGACATGGCCAAATATCCCCAGTGGGTGGGGTAGGAAGCAGGGCAAAATCACCCTCAACTAAGAATCAATGAATAAAAGGAAGGCTGGAAGGAAAGAGAAGGGGGGAAAAAAAGAGGGGACAAAAATCTATACTACTGTTACACTACAGATCTAAGTTCTGAAATCTGTTATGTTGTTGGGTGACTAGTAATCTTTCAAGACACTACAAACATAATTTCTTCTGTGAGACCTTGATTGGAGCCACCCTCACCTTGTGCTTGGTGGAATTGATTATTTCTTCCTATGTCTCTATTTATGAACCAGGACATCATTTTATTACAGTTAATCATTTACCTGTTGACCCAACTAGGCTGTAAGCTCCTTAAGTGCAGGAAACAGGCCTTTGTCTCTGCTTCATTTGTTCCCAGCACTTTTTGGCACATAGCAGTAAATTATCGGAAATGTTTGTTGAAGGATTGCATAGACAGATGGATGGATGAATGAATATACAGGGCAAAGAGGGGCAAGGACTGCAGTGAGAGATCAGAAGTAAGAATAAATTAATGTCAACCAAGGGACCTGAAAAAAATCTCCATGGAAGAACTGGCTTATGACCGGGGTCTAAAGGAAGATGTAAGAGGTAGACATGGGAAAGGGACACTTCAGGCAGAGAAAATATTGTGAACAAAGGTATGGTAGTGGAAAAGCTCAGAGTTTTAAGGAAGACCAAAGAGCAATGGAGCAGAGGCCTAAGAGTATGTGGGGAAAAAATAAAGATGGGAATTTCCTTTTTAAATTTTATTTATTTATTTACGACAGTCACACACAGAGAGAGAGAGAGAGAGGCAGAGACATAGGCAGAGGGAGAAGCAGGCTCCATGCACCGGGAGCCCAACACGGGACTCGATCCCGGGTCTCCAGGATCGCGCCCTGGGCCAAAGGCAGGCGCCAAACCGCTGCGCCACCCAGGGATCCCCTAGATGGGAATTTCCATTTCTGAAATTGAGACCAGATTTACCCTCCCACATGTAGCAGCCAAAAAAAGAGAAATAAGTATAAATATAAATATATAATATATAATGGCTTATAAGACACTGTCCATCAAATAACAAGTACAGTAATCCCCTGAGAGACAAGAAACAAACAAGATAAGCCCCAAAATTGCCTCAGCTCACTGTCCTCTTTTTTTTTTTTTAAAGACTTTATTTATTTATTTGAGACAGAGAGAGAGAGAGAATGAGTATGAGGGAAGGGGAGGGTCCCAGGACCCTGAGATCATGTCCTCAGCTGAAGGCAGACACTCAACCCACTGAGCCACCCAAGCTCCCGCTCCAGCTCACTGTCTTGTGATACTTTCCAAGCCACAGCACAGGGACACTCTCAGGAGGAGACCAGCAGACTCTCTGAGTTGAGGAGACAGAATTGTGAGACCAAACAAAGGTGGTTCAAGTTGGCAACAAAGAGTAAGAGAAAGGAGAGAACTGCACAGCAAGGGAACTCCAGAGGTCGGCAGATGGTCTCCCTCAGCACTTGTATGGGAGGAAACCCAAAAGGATTAGAAGAAACAGGGCCCAGCATGCACACAGGGCCAGGGACAGTGCTTGTTCCCTTCTGAGAAACCTGAAGATTCACAGGGCACTGGGTAGAATAAACTGAAGAGTCTTGCCTCAGTATTAGAGAATGAACCATAGACTGAACATTACTTCAGTCCTTCCTAACACATCTTTAGAGCCAAGACCCAAAAGGTTCAAACTTTTCCAAGTAACTTTAACTACATCCCAGAACAAAACTCAAGTTTACAGGAATACAAAAGTCCCCTGCCTGGATAAGGTAAGATCTACGGTGTCTGGTATCTAGTAAAAAAATTACGGGGCATGAAGAGAGGCAAGAAAACATGATCCATGATGAAGAGATAAATCAGTTAATGGAAACTCACACAGAACTGGTGCAGATGTTAGACTAGCAGACATGAACATCAAAAACAGTTATTATAACTGTATTTCATATGTTCAAGATTAAGAAGAGATGTAGAAATATTTTCTTAAAAATTCAAGTCAAACGTTTTGAATTGAAAATTACAATAGTATGAGATGGAAAAATAGACTAGATGGGATCAGTGGCTGATTAGACATGGTTAGAAAGAGCAGATTAGAATATATAAGGACGCCACAGAGAGAAAAAAGATTCAAATACCAAACAGAGCCCCAGTGAGCAATGAGACAAGTCCATGAAGCCTAATTACCTGTAATAGGAATCCTTGGAGCAGGAAGAGTGAAAGGTAAAAATATTTTTTTTGAAGAAATAATGGTCAAAATGTTTCCAAATTTGATGAAAACTAGAAACTCATGGATCAAAGAGGCTCAGCAGACCCCAGGCACAAGGTGTATATAATAATTACACTCACGATCAGTGACAAAGAGAACATCTTTAAAGGAGCCAAGGGAAGACACACATCCAGAACAACAAAGACAAGGAAGGTTTATGATTTCTCATCAGAAACAACACAACTAAGAAGGCAATGGAACACCATCTTTTAAGTACTAAAAACAAACAAAAAACTGTGAACCTAGAAATCTATACCCACAAAAATATCTTTGGAAATGAAGGCAGAATGAGGATATTTTTAGACATACAGAAGCTAAAGGAATTAATCACCAGCAGATCTACACTAGACCCAGGGTTAAAAGATGTTCTCCAGGCAGATGAAAATGACACCATATGGAAATGTATTTGAACTTTCACATAATGACCCTCTGTCTGCCAGTCAAAAGTTCAATTTTGGCAATAACCACCATGGCTTATAAAGTAGTAGTTGTGCAACAATTTGTACATACAAGGAATTGAGCAATTTGATTCAGCCCAGATTCAGGACAAGCTGTGGTTCAGGCCTTGGGTGTGATGACATAATTTGCCCGTCCAGCATCACTTTGCATTTTACCCTTTAGAAACATGGGGAGCAAATGGAAGATTTTAAATGCTTATATGAGTGCCAGAACGCATAGTTTTCATAAACCTTATGCAACAAAGCCAAGGGTGGGAAACATCACATATGTAACAACAGGTCAGTCCATTGTGTTCAATTATAAAGGACAAAGTTAATTGATATGTTTAAATGTGAGAAATACAGTATCAAAGATGACATGTAAAAGACAGAGGGTACTTAGAGATAATATATTGTTTTTCACTCTCAGAGAAAGGAACTTCTCCACCCCCAATCCCACTCCTGACCACCACTTAGGTACTTAAATCTCTTGTTGGACTTGGGGCATCGAGGTGGTTCAGTTGGTTGAGCTTCTGACTCTTGGTTTTGGCTCAGGTCATGATCTCAGGGTGTCAGGATCAAGCCCTGCGTCAGGCTCTGCACTCAGCTTAGAGTCTGCTTCAAATTCTCTCTCCCTCTCCTTCCTGTTCACTCTTCCTCTCTCTCTCTCTCAAATAAATAAATAAAATAAAATCATTTTAAAAAAATCTGTTGTTGGACCTATACAATTTGATTTGTGTGTGTATACATATTTGTGTAGAAAAGTAGAAAAACACTTAAGAGTCCATACTACTTCCCTTTGGAACACAGTATGTTTTTTCTCCTCTGTTTCCTTGTTCTATCTTCATGGGCAAGTGGTATTGAAAAACTCAACAATTTGTTAATAATTGGGCAAGCATGTGGTAAAAAATGACGGTGCGTGGTCAATAAGACTGCTCCCAAAATTCAAGAATTCTTTGGACAAAGAATAAACAACCTTCATGATTACTAATTGCAGCATTTAACTCTTAGAATAATAAACTTTCATATATATTTCCATCAACTTTTAGAATTTCAACATATAAAACACATAAAGAGAGAATTTCAACATATAAACACAGAGATAACAAAGACTATTCAGATATCAACAATAATGCTGAATGGCATGCCTTGTTTGTATAGCTAGTTTTATTACCTATATTAAATATTCATTGATTTAACAAATATTTATTAAACACCAAAAAAATACTTCAAGAATTCTACTGAAAAAGGCCAGTGCCCTCCCTGAAGTACCAGAATTCAAGAACATTTAAGATTTTTTTTAAAAGATTTTTTATTTATTTATTCATGATAGAGAGACAGAGAGAGGCAGAGAAACACAGGCAGAAGGAGAAGCAGGCTCCATGCTGGGAGCCCCACGCGGGACTTGATCCCGGGACTCCAGGATCGCGCCCTGGGCTAAAGGCAGGCACTAAACTGCTGAGCCACCCAGGGATCCCCCAAGAACATTTAAGATTTTAATCTAACCTAATTTTCTTTGATATTCAGCCTTCTCCTGTTTGACAATTACCTGTGGTTTCTGGTGTTTCTGCTCATAGTCTAGTTTCTGGAAATACTGTGGCTTCTGCAGCTTCTTTAGCCCCACTCTCTTCTTTAACTCCAGAGGAACCTGGTTGAGTCTCCTCGTGTGGAGCACATCATGGCTTGGTTTACTCTGATAGTCAATGTCAAACTGTTTCAGAATGAACTCGTCAACAATGTTTGAACTTCCCTGTAAGAATATCACATTGCATGAATCAAGGACAAATTCTTCTTTAATCTAAAGGAGGCATGTGACTATGGCTAGAGAAGAGGTAGTTTAGAGGACAGGCAGGAAATGCTCAGTCAGCATTCATTAGAGACAAGAAGTACTGGGGTTCTGGAGGACTTTGTCAGTGCATTAAGGGACAACTTAGGACCAGACAGAAGCAGTGAGTCCTTGAGAGAATTAATAGGCTGAGAAAAATTCAGTCTGTTTAATCTTTTTTTTTTAAGATTTTATTTATTTATTCATGAGAGACAGAGACAGAGAGAGAGAGAGGCAGAGGGAGAAGCAGGCTCCACTCAGGGAGCCCGACGCGGGAACTGATCCCGGATCTCCAAGATCATGCCCTGGACTGAAGGCGGCGCTAAACTGCTGAGCCACTGGGGCTGCCCCAGTCTGTTTAATCTTAAGCAGACTTCTGAGTGCATAAAGAAGATGTGATGGTACACACACACACACTGGAATATTACTCAGCCATAAAGAAGAATGGGATCTTATGATTTGTGATAACATGGATGGATCCAAAGGGTATTGTGCTAAATGAAGTACTGCAGAGAAAGACAAATACCATAGGACTTCAACTACATGTCAAATCTAAAAAACAAAACAAATGAACAAACAAACAAGAAAACAGAAACAGGGGCAGCCCGAGTGGGCTCAGTGGTTTAGCGACGTCTTCAGCCCAGGGCCTGATCCTGGAGATCCGGAATCGAGTCCCACATCAGGCTCCCTGCCTGGAGCCTGCTTCTCCCTTTGCCTGTGTCTCTGCCTCTCTCTCTCTCTCTCTCTCTCTCTCTCTCTCTCTCTGTCTCTCATAAATAAATAAATAAAATTAAAAAAAAAAAAGAAAACAGAAACAGGGGATCCCTGGGTGGCTCAGCGGTTTGGCGCCTGCCTTTGGCCCAGGGCGCGATCCTGGAGACCCGGGATCGAATCCCACGTCGGGCTCCCGGTGCATGGGGCCTGCTTCTCCCTCTGCCTGTGTCTCTGCCTCTCTCTCTCTCTGTGTGTGACTATCATAAATAAATAATAATAAAAATTAAAAAAACAAAAAAAAAACAAAAACAAAAGGGAGGTAGGTGGGGGAATAGACAAAATAGGTGAAGGCAATTGGGAGGTAAATGCTTCTAGTTATGGAATGAATAAGTCATAGAGATAAAAGGTGGACCACAGGAATATAATCAATGATATTGTAATAGCATTATATGGTGATAGATAATAACTACATTTGTGGTGAACAGCATGATGTATAGAATTGGCAAATCACTATGTTGCACACCTGAAGCTGGAGTCAGATAAATGGATTCAGATAGAGGGGAGCAGCCAAGAGACAGAAGGAACACCTAAAAGCATTTTAGCGCCTAGATCTAGCTATACCTGAAGCTCCTAGGGCATCTGGATGGTTCCTTTACCTCCCTTAATCCAGTCTGAATTATATTTCAGTCACTTTTCAAGGAAATAGTCCCAAAAAATACATTGTCTAAACTGACTAATGTTCTCAAAATATAGGTGAAGAAGATTACAAATCCTAGATCTTAAATCCAGGAAAAACCTAAGGAACCCATCTACAGAGACTTGAGAACACAAATAGGTATTTAAATGGATTCTTGGAAGGAAGGCAAGGAAAGACTTTAAGAACTAAGCCAAAAGTCCATTCATGCCAGAAATATCATTTGTGAAGGTTGTGGTTAAGCATAGTTGTCCAAGTACTTACAGATAAATTAACTGAGAAAAATATGTTGAAATTGTGAAGGACACAGAAAAAAGAACACTGAAATGGAAAACAAAAATGTGAAACAACAGGGTGAGGGAAATGAGTAGTGATTGGCTAAAATATATAAACTTTCAGTTATAAAATAAATAAGTTCTGGGAATCTAATGTACAGCATGGTGACTATAGTTAATAAAATTGTAATTGTACTTGAAAGTTGCTAAGAAAGTAGATCTTAAATTTTCTCACCACACTCCAAAAAGGTAATTATGTGAGGTGATGGATGTGTTAACTACCCTGACTGTGGCAATCATTTTGAAATATCCATATATATGTATCAAATTATCACACTGTACACCCTGAACTTACACAGTGTTATATGTCAGTTATATCTCAATAAGGCTGGCAAAGAAAAAGAGCCACTAAAAAGATAGAAAGAAACAACAGCAATGTGACATATAAACAATAAACATTCAAATAGGCTGCAAGCTTGCAAACTTTCCAGAAACATCATCTAGGAAATATTTCTATTATAAATAGTAGAAGAGTCACAATTCCTTTATGACTCTGATTATTTCACTTAAATTTTATACTAACATTGTTTTTTAATAATAGCAACTCAGAGCTTGACTTTAAAAAGTAGGTTGGGGATCCCTGGGTGGCACAGCGGTTTGGCGCCTGCCTTTGGCCCAGGGCGCGGTCCTGGAGACCCGGGATCGAATCCCACATCGGGCTCCCGGTGCATGGAGCCTGCTTCTCCCTCTGCCTGTGTCTCTGCCTCTCTCTCTCTCTCTCTGTGACTATCATAAATAAAAAAATAAAAAGTAGGTTGTATGGAATACTACTTAGCCATCAAAAATGAAATCTTGCCATTTGCAATGATGGGGTAGAACTAGAGGGTATTATGCTAAGCGAAATAAGTCAACCAGAGAAAGACAATTATCATACAATTTCACTCATATGTGGAATTTAAGAAACAAAACAGAGGAGCATAGAGGAAGGAAAGGAAAAATAAAACAAGATGAAATCAGAGAGGGAGACAAAGCATAAAAGACTCTTAATCAAAGGAAACAAACTAAAAAAAAAAAACCAATAACAAAGGAAACAAACTTGAGGTTGCTGGAGGGGAGGGGTGTTGGGGGGATAGGGTAACGGGATGATCGGCATTAAGAAGGGCACATGAAAGGAAAAAAGAAAAAGAAGGGCACATAATGTAATGAGCACTGGGTGTTACATAAGACTGATGAACCACTGAAGTCTACCTTTGACACTAATAATACACTATATGTTAATTAATTGAATTTAAATTTTTTAAAAAGGAGGTGACTAGTATTACTACTAGCTTACAAGAGCAGTAGCCCAGTTGCAGAAGTCCCTAACTCCTTTGTGCACGTTTTCATGAAGAAGAGGAGCATCTTCATGGAACAAATCTGTTTCACTTGGCTTCTTTTCTTCATTAAGCCATTGACCTGGATGTGACACTGAAGTCTTCTTGGGACTAAGGATAATGAGATCATCAAAGAATCACAGTATGAGACACCATGAATCAAAGTAGATTTCCAACACTATCTTAAGGAAAAGTATAATAATGCAAGCATTTCTAACACTCTCTCACTTGCTCATACAAGGGATATGTTAATTTTCCAAAGATCACATTTTCCTTATCTATATCATAAAGGCAATATCATGAATAGTTATAATAATTAAAATATATATAGCACCTTACCAGTTTAAGTTGATTTTTTTGAAATTGTGGGTTGCATTTATTAAAATATATGCCAAATTACTGCACTTGGAGTCTGCTCCAGATATAGACAATCTTGACAAGCAAGAGATGTCCTTGATTTCTCTCTGTCTTTTGTCCTAAAACCCAGCCCATTAATAAATCTGGTAGGTTTTAATTCTGTCCCCTTCTCTGGACTATTGCAAATGCTCCTCACTGATCTTCTCCTAGGGCCTCAACTCCCAAAACCCTAATCCATTTGCAGCACTGCAGCTAAAATAGTCTTTCCAAAATATAAATCTGGTCATAGTAGCCACCCTTCATCCTCAACTAAACCTCTCAATAGCTTCTTTTTAAAATTAAGATATAATTCACATACTATAATATTAACCATTTCAAAACATGCAATTCAGTAGTTTCCATATAGTTACAAAGTTATGCAACCTCTACCATTATCTAATTCTGGAACATCTGCATCACCCCCAAAAAAGAAGCTCCATAACCACTGACAATCACTCTTCATTTCCCCCATTCTCTCTGCTCCTGGAAACTAGTTCTGTCTCTATGGATTTGCCTGTTCTAAACATTTTATCTGAATGCAACCTTATAATACATTGTATTTTGTGTCTGGCTAACATCTCAAGGTTTGACCATGCTATTAGCATGTAACAGTGGTTTATTTCTTTTTATGGCTAAGAACACATTGTCTGAATAGACCACATTTTATCTATCATCATTTGATGGACATCTGGGGTCTTATGCATAGTGCTGCTTGGAATGTTCAGGTACAATTTTTTTGTGTTTAAAAGATTATTACTCTTCCATTAAAGACCTACATCTTAACTCAATTTCCAAGACTCTTCATGGCCTGATCCTTGCCTGTATCTCCAGATTCTTCTGGAATTACCACCCTTCCTCACTCTCTGAGCTCCAGCCATTGTGGCCTTCTCTCAGGTTCATGAATTCATCATGCTCTCTTCAACCACAGGGCCTTTTCCATGTTGTACCATCTGACTGCAATGCCTTCTGCATTTCCTCATCTCCCTTATGTTCCAACATACATGTCCCTTCCTTAGGGAGGTATTCACAGGCTGTCCCCAGAACCCACACTTTCTTCCCAGCATCTTGTACCTTTTTCATAGCACCCAAGTATTAATTTATCCATCCATCCATTCAACAAGCACTTATTAAATACCAACTAAGTACCAAGCACAGTTCTAGACATTAAAACTCAACTGTAAATAAAGTTTAGTCCCTGTCCTCACAGAAGTTAAGATTTGAGTAAGGAGAGACAGCTAGGAAAGAGGTAAACATATGCCAAGTCATTACAAGTGATAAAAAGAAAAATAAAACAGGGCAGGAGGGATGGAGAGTATTGACAGGGGGCTTTTTATTTCTATAGGGAAGGCCTCACCACCAAACTGATAGTTGAGCAGAGATCCAAAAGAAGGAATCAATCAGACCATGCAGATATCAAATATCAAGCGTGATGATCATTGAGAATGGACTAGGTAACCTAGATGTCAATGGCAACCTTGACCAAGGGCAAATCCACTGGAGTGCTGATGAGTTACAGAAAGAAGAGTACGTAAGTATGGACATGTCTTTCAAGGAATTTTGCTCTAAAGAAAAGGAGAGACTATATACTCAATGAAACTTGTTTAGAAGATGGGAGATGTTACCTCATGCTGTGTTAGGCTGGTAATGGCCTCCAAAGATATCAGGGGCTAATCCTTGGAACCTGTAAATGTTACTTTACTTGGAAAAATCATCTCTATAGACATGAGTAGTTTAAGGAGCTTGAGATGATGAGATTATCTTGGATTATCTGGGTGGGCCCTAAATGCCATCACGAGTGTCCTTGTAAGAGAGGGACAGAAGATTTGACAGAGGAGAAGGGATGTGAAGACAGAGCAGATAGAGATCTGAAGACATTGACCTTGAAGATTGGAAAGATGTGGCCATAGCCCTGGAATGCCACTAGCAACCAGAAGCTCAAAGAAGTAAGGAGTAGATTCTTTCCTAGAGCTCCTGGAAGGAACATGGTCCTGCTGATACTTTGATTTCAGCACAGGAATACTGATTTTGGACTTCTGGTCTCCAGAACTGTGAGATAATAAATTTCTGTTGTTTTAAGACACCAAATTCAAGTTACTTTTTTTTTCTTAAGTATTTTATTTATTTATTCATGAGGGACAGAGAGAGAGAGAGAGAGGCAGAGACACATGCAGAGGGAGAAGCAGGCTCCATGCAGGGAGCCTGACAGGGGACTTGATCCCGGGTCTACAGGATCAGGCCCCAGGGCTGAAGGCGGCGCCAAACTGCTGAGCCACCCGGGCTGCCCAAATTCACATTACTTTGTACAGCAGCCACTGTACAAGAATATGCCAAGAATATGCTGACAGAAAAACTTGCCATTAGGTAATTATACATTCATTTGTGATGATAATTTATGAAGGTATTAGTTTCATTCACTTCCTTTATACTATTATCATCTCTCCTTTTAAATAGATAGCCCATTTGTTTTTAATTTCTTGCCCCGGAGATTTTTTCAGGGTTGACCAAGGAAACTGCCTACAGTTAAAGGCAGAACCTATATTGTGTAAAAGCCCAAGCTTATTGCAGCAATTATGCTTGACGTTATGGATGACATGGGAAGAGAGGGGCGGAATACAGAGTGTACCACAAACAGCAAGAATGGAGAGAAGAAAGAGTCCCAGAGACCAGAGAGAAGTTAAGATCAGTCCTGAAACTGCTCAAATGTTTCGGCAGGTGACAGGAAAGAGCAAGGGGTTAAGAACAGTACTTACAGCCCCGGGTAGACTGGGGAAGAAGTTTTTTAAAAAGCTTTGCTGGTTCCTTTGTTCTTTTCCTGAAGCCCTGACAATAAGCCCATGCGTCCTCCGGTCTCCTGTCAGGATCCAGCACTTCCAGCACCTTTGATTAGAGCTGTACAAACAGAACACAGCCTTAGAGGAAAGAAAAATGTGCTGAAAAAGAAGACCCCTTGATTCTAAAACAGAACAGACCAACATGCCCCTTTGCTTTGCATTTCTGGCCGGCTGTGCCTTCATCAGTTTCTGTGCAAATACTCTGATGGCTGCTGTGGGTTAGTGTCCCCCATCTAGACACTAGTATGTGCCTGTTGTGCTAAAATTCTGTCCCTGGGGCCCACCCCAGTCCCTCCCGGCCCCATTGAGCCAAGAGCCTCTAGAGGTTTCTATAGCTTTTGACTGCCCAGTACCCATTCTTCCTTCTATAAATAACAGTGTCTAGATTTTTCTTTGGACCTTCTCCTTGCTCCACAGGCAGGTCAGAACAATGGAGACCATAGCGACTGGTTTAGGAACAGGCACATAACCCAAATTTTACCCATGGGAACTAGACTATGGGATTTTGCTGGAAGCATACAGAAAGAGGCGTTCTTTTTCTTGGTAGAACTTAAATCTAGGGAAGCTGGTGGCTATCAGAGTACCATAAGAAGAAATCCTGCCTTGGAAAGAAGACAACACACCCAGCTGGACAGGTGAAACATGGTAATAAGGACCACAATCCCAAGTGCCATCTGAGGGTATGTGGAAATCATCTATTTGTCATGGCCTTAGAAACTCTGGCCTGCAGGAAGCAGTTGGAGAAAGTCCCAATTGGAAAATAATTGATTAGAATTCTATAGACTTTTCTGCCACTAATCATTCATTCATTCATTCATTCATTATGCACAAATATTTGTGTTTTTTTTGTTTGTTTGTTTTTTGCACAAATATTTGTTGAGTGACTCTATGCCAGGTATTAATTAGTGACACACAGTGAAAGACACAGGTAAAGTCTCTGCCTTTCTAGAGATTTTATTCTGGCCCAGTGGTAACAAGAGCTGGGATGAAAAATAGATCATGATGAGGGATAGAGGGTGGAGTAGAAGGAAAGTGTTGTTTTATGAGACATTGGAGCAAGGATCTGAAGGAAGCGAAGGAGTGAGCCAGACAGGCATGTAGGGGTAGTTGTCCCAGGCACAGAAGAGAGATCTGAATTGGACATGCTCACTCATGTTCACAGAGCAGCCAGGAGGTCAGGGTGGCTGGAGCAGGGTGAGAGCAGAGGAGTTGTGGTGAGGTTGGAGGGGTGCAGAGCAAGGGTGGGGCAGAGAGTAGACAGAGGTGCTGGGCCTTTCAGACCATGGCAAGGACTTTACTCCGAGTAAGAAAGGGCCATCAAAGGGCTTTGCAGAGAAGTTTGTCTTTCTGAATAATTGCCTCACTGACTGACTTAGGGACCAGATTACACAGGTGGGGGTGGGGTAGCAGGCACCCAACATCCATTCTGCCTTTTTCCTTAAATCTAACAGAACTGTATTCTAGATTTTGCTCTCTGTCCCAATGCCCAAACAAGAAACTCAATTTTCTAGATTCCCTAGCAGCTAGGAGTGGTCAGATGAATGGGATGTTTACTGGACAAGTTCTTACTTGTCAAATTAAAAGACAGAGTCGGCTGGCATAGACCCTCTAAGCTTTGCCCCCTCCCGCCTGACAGACCTGGTGCCTGAAGGTGTGGAAGCCATCCTGAGAAAAAAGAACAAGAGACATACGCTAAGGACTGTGGAGCTCAGAGTCTGAAGCAGCCTGGGACACTGGTGACATAATGGAGCTGTCATCCAAACCCAGCCCGACAATGTGGGGACTCTTCCCCATGACCTCTCAGGGACCCCCTGCCCCTCTGCCTGCTACCCATCCATTAGTTAAAGGCTACGGACACCTCCTAACACCAGGCTAAAGTAACAAGCCCTGGACAATCTGCCTTTTGGTTTCTAGCCTCAAAAGGTCCCAAGCAAAGTAGACCGGTTGAACGTCAAGGGAACAGAAGTCGAATGTTTCTGGTTTACTGGACCTTCAGAAGTTGCACGGCTTCGTAGGAAGTGGCAAGTACATGGCTGCTGATGTCCTTCCCAGAAGCAGAGAAAGGAAGGCTGCCCCAGCCCCCGTGAGAGCTCTCGCCCTGGGAGGCATTTGTCATCCCCTCCCCCAGACAAGTCTGTCACCCCTCAGAGGAGCTCCCACACATCTAAGGAAAGTTCTTTTCCAGGCCCCAGTGAAGGCCCTCCCACAACCCTGGGTCAGGAGGTCACCTCAACAGGCATGTCTTCCCCCAGTTGAGGGTAGAGAGCCAAGGGGTGCAGGGTCAGCTGGGCTTTGACATCTGCAAGGAGTGCCTTCTGTGCCCCCGGGCTGGCGGGAGCTTGCTTGCTTCCTGGGGCGGCTGGTGCTGCCTCTTCTTTAGGGGAGTTGTGTGATGGATCTGGGGGACAAAGGCCTCCCGTGCAGCCTGAGTGTTCAGACCCTTGTGTGGTGGGCAGCGTCTCCTAAAGTCATCCAGCCCCTTCTTTGAGAATGTCCCCCGCAGGCTGTTCAGGGAGGTGCCGCCCGTGGGCCCGGGCCTGTGCTTTGTGAAATACTTGGAAGGTAGATTCTCTTTGTACCTGGAAGGCAACGTGCCTGATTGTAGGGATCATGGGGCTTGGGGTGGGAGACTGGGGCTGTAAGGAGGCTGGCCTCCACCTTTCTGGAGAAGGTGAGGTAGGGGAGGAGGGGTTCCGTGGAGAGCTAATTCGACTCCTGGTCACCCGCACCTTATGTCTGCTCTGTGCGAGGTCCCTCTCCCATTTCCTGTAGGCACTTACCCTACATCCCGTTCTCATGGCTTTCCTGGCACAGGCAAAACCACTCTCGCAGACTTAAAATGTACCCTTTTGCCTGTACACTCCTCATAATATCTGTATCATCCTTTTATGTGCATGTGTTCTTCATTTACATAAAAGTACTATCCTGTTTCTTACTGGTATGCCAAGCACCGTGTTAGAAAGACCCATCCACGTCACTAGGTGTAAATCTCATTCATTATTACCACCTGCTGCCACCATGGTTCATCTATCCATTCTCCTTGTGAAGGACACTCACAAGCTGCTGCCCCTTCAGGGACTTTTTCTTATCCTTTAAAGAATCACAGTGGGCAGCCCTGGTGGCCCAGTGGTTTAGCGCCGCCTGCAGCCCAGGGCGTGATCCTGGAGACCCTGGATAGAGTCCCGTGTCGGGCTCTCTACATGGTGCCTACTTCTCCCTCTTCCTGTGTCTTTGCGTCTCTATGAATAAATAAATAAAATCTTAAAAAAAAAAAAAAGAGAATCACAGTGCAGTGGGAAGAACCTGGATCCCAGGGACAACTTGCCCCTTACTAGCTGAATGACCTTGACATTTTATTAAACCTCTGTGAGCCTGAGTTAAGCCCCTAAACTCAGAGGGTCAAAGGTTGCAGACTGGCAGTCCAGGGGCTGCACGGGGCCTACAAACCTGTCCTGTGGTCCCTTTTCTATTTGCATAAGAATTAGAATAGCTAACACATACCGAAGACTTTTTTATATAATAAGCATATTCTAAATGCTTTACATGTATTAACTTACCTAAATCCTGTAACAATCCAATGAAGTAGGTACCAAGTACTGGCATTCTTCCCACTTATAGATAAGGAAATTGAGGCACAAAGAAATTTAAGAGCAAAACAAACCCTTGTGAAAGATCCCACAGCTAATAAGTGTTAGAGGTGGGATTTTAATCCACGTAGTGTGACTCCAGAGAAAAGTGTTTAAACACTAAACTAGAGTTTCTGACATTAAAAAAAAAAAAGTTCACATACATAATCTATAACAAAAGTCAGGCTCTCAGGGAACACAGGGTCCATCTTTCTGTGGAGTAGTAGTTGGTACAATGGTTGCCCCTACACACAGTCCTATGCTCTCTTAGTCACAGACTCCACCCCTCCCTACTGATTTATTCTACCTACCCTGCTTCATCCAGTTTCCTTACCCACCTGACCCCTGTCTGCCCTGAGTTGTTAGGGCATAAATATGAGATGGAAGCAGTTGATGGAAGGAAAATAAGGCCAGCTCCTCGATTATCTAACACATCCAGCCATTGCCTACCTAAGCCATGACTTGGGACCAAGTACTAACAGGTCAAGGGCAGATCACTCATTATCTTTAATTTTTTTTTTAGATTTATTTATTTATTCATGAGATTCACAGAAAGAGAGGTAGAGACACAGGCAGAGGGAGAAGCAGGCTCCACTCAGGGAGCCCGACATGGGACCCCATCCCAGGTCTCCAGGATCACACCCTGGGCTGAAGGCGGCGCCAAACCACTGAGCCACCCCGGCTGCCCAGATCACTCATTATCTTACTACATCACTGCCTTAGTCAGATATTTCTATATTATTGGTGTCTTTCCCTGAAGCCTCTTCCACCCCCAGGCTCCTTTCATCTGTAATGGCTCATTACACCAAATCTACTCCTGTTGCACTCATCTTTACAGGCACAAAGCATTTTTAAGAGGTTCCAGCTTAATCCCTATTCTTTTCTTGTGAGTCCCAGAAACTTACCGCTTGCTGTGTGTGCATAAACCAGTTCTACTGTGAAGATCTAAATGAAAGGACACGAAAAGCTGCTCTCTGAAGTTAATAAATCACTCTTAAATAGCTAAGTGGTGGGATACTGAAATTACATGTAACCTTAAGATTTGATGACCCATCAGCATGACCTACTAGCAAGTAACCTTCTACAATATTAGATATCTTTACAAAGTTTATTTTCCACGCATTGACGACTAACTCAAACACCCACGCATTTCATGAAATCAAACCTGATGACTTGAGATTTTTGCTTATAGACTTCATACCACTCAAACTGAGGAAAGTATGGCAGCTAGCTCAAGCCTCATAGAATGTTAGAGCGGGCAGAACCTGAAGGAAATCTAGTCCACCTCCTCCTCCCTTCTAAATGAAGAAACTGAGTTCTCAGAGATGAACAGGCAACCACTATAGCAGGAGGGCGTCCCGTGACCCTGCTTTGCTTCTCATAGATAATAAACTTACCTTTGCATTTTGTTAACCTTATGAAAAGTTTTGCTTGACCCAGGAAATAAAACTGAAAACATTTTTTCCCTAAACATTTACTATTTTCACAGTTATTAGCATATGGTGTATGGATGGTTATCTCCCTCTTTAAGAATTGGGGAAGAGTATTAATCATTTGTCCTAAAGAAATGAAAACTTTTGTTTGTACAAAAACCTGTAAACAAATATTGATAGCAACAGTCAAAAACTAGAACACCTGAATGTGTCTCAATAGGTAAAATGAATAAACAAACAGAGGTACATCCATACGAACAATAAAAATGAACAAACTCCTGGGGCGCCTGGGTGGCTGAGTCAGTTAAGCATCTGCTTTCAGCTCAGGTCATGTTCTTGGGGTCCTGGAGTTGAGCTCGGCCTAGGGCAGTCTGCTTCTCTTTCTCCCTCTCCCTCCCCTCCTGCCTGCCTGCGCTCTCTGTCTCTCGCTCAAATGAATAAATAAATACATCTCTTAAAAAATGAACAAACTACCAATATGGTATCTTGGATAGATCTCAAGAGCTTTATGCTTAATGAAAAAAAAAAAGCCCATCTCAAAGGTTTTTTTTAAGATTTTATTTATTTATTCATGAGAGACACAGAGGCAGAGAGGGGCAGAGACACAGGCAGGCAGCCGGCCGGGGGACTCCATCCTGGTCTCCAGGATCACGCACTGGGCTGAAGGCGGCGCTATACCGTTGAGCCACCTGGGCTGCCCCTCAAAAGGTTTTATACTCTATTATTCTATTTATCTAACATCCCCAAAGAACGGAATTATGGAAATGAACAGTTATGGTTGCCAAAGGTTGGGGTGGGGAAGGGGGTGTGGATAAAGGGGTTGCAAGAAGTAGTTCCCTAGTGGTGAGGCAATTATTTTGTATCTTGATGAATACATATGACAAAATTTTATAGAACTTTATACACACACAACTGCAAGCAAAATGTGGTGAAATCCAAGTAAAGTCTGCAGTCTAACACATCCTGCCAACGCCCATTTCCTGCTTTGGTCATGTACTACAGTTATGTAAGCTGGAAGCAGCTGAAGAAGGGTACATGGACCTCTGTGCTATTTTTGCAACTTCTTGTGATCTATAATGATTTCAAAACAAAAACTTTGAAAATGTGTGTGGGGGGGAAGGATTACCAAAGTGTTCATGATTGCTGAAATGTATACCCTATACTATGTGCCAGTAACTGCCTTTACATGCTATGTCAGTTAATCCTCAGACAATCCTTCAGAGCTGATTCATTTTGTTGTTCCCATTTTACAGTCGAGCAAACCGAGCCCAGAAGGAGCAACTACCTTGTGTAAAGTCGCTAGGCAAACCAGAAGAGCAGTAGCCCTGGACTTTGTAGACTGTTGAATCTGCCACCGTGTGGGGCCGCCTCCAAGACAGCCCAATTCCGTTCTCCTAAGTAGTGCCAGGAGGCTGCGAAAACAAAACGCCTTGGGTCCCTGCCCTGGGGCCGGGAGGCAACCGTTCAACTTGGCGGCAGCCCCCGGGGCCTGAGGCCCTCCCCGCAGACACAGGCCCCGGGCGGTCTCCGTCACCAGCCTGGCGGCCCACGGCTGCGGGCCCAGCGGCCTAACCCCGAGAGCCGTGGTAGGCGGGGCCGGGCTCTGCGGAGGACCGATCCCCGCGCGGGCGGGGGGCGTGGGTCTGCACCCCGGGAAGTTGGAGGATGACGCGAGGGAGCGCGCTCTGCGACCGGAGCGTCGAGCGCTGGTCGTCGCATGGACGATAATCACTTGGGTGCCAGGGCCCTTGGGGAGAAAAGGCAGCGGGACCTCCCCCGCCGGCGCGCTGACCCGGGACCGCAGTTCCCGCCCGCTGGCCCCCGGCTGGGCGCCGCCGGCCCGCTCCAGCGCCTGCGGTCGGCCACGGCCCCCTCCCGGCCGCCCGGGTCTCCAGGAGACGGCGCCCCTCGCTGTCCCCCCCCCGGCCCCCTCGCTGTCCCCCGGCGCCCCTCGCTGTCCCCCCTGCACCCCTCGCTGTCCCCCGGCGCCCCTCGCTGTCCCCCCGGCCCCTCGCTGTCCCCCCGCGCCCCTCGCTGTCCCCCCCGGCCCCTCGCTGTCCCCCCGGCGCCCCTCATTGTCCCCCGGCGCCCCTCTGTCCCCCCGGCGCCCCTCGCTGTCCCCCAGCGCCCCTCGCTGTCCCCCCGGCGCCCCTCGTTGTCCCCCCGGCGCCCCTCGCTGTCCCCCCGGCCCCTCGCTGTCCCCCCGCGCCCCTCGCTGTCCCCCCGGCCCCCTCGCTGTCCCCCCGGCCCCTCATGCCCCCGCGCCCCTCTGTCCCCCCGGCGCCCCTCGCTGTCCCCCGCGCCCCTCGCTGTCCCCCCGGCGCCCCTCGCTGTCCCCCCGGCGCCCCTCGTTGTCCCCCGGCGCCCCTCGCTGTCCCCCCGGCCCCTCGCTGTCCCCCTGCGCCCCTCGCTGTCCCCCGGCCCCTCGCTGTCCCCCCCGCGCCCCTCGCTGTCCCCCCCGGCCCCTCGCTGTCCCCCCGGCGCCCCTCGCTGTCCCCCCGGCGCCCCTCGCTGTCCCCCCGGCCCCTCGCTGTCCCCAGGCGCCGCCTGCCCCAGCGCCCCCACCGGCGGGAGGAGCGGCCCGGTCCTCTTCCCGCTGCGACTTCGCGCCGAGCGGTCCGCGCCTGCTTCACTCACCGCCCCCAGAAGGGTTTGCTCGACGGAAGGAAGAAAGCGGCTGGAGAGAGCAACAGAAAAAGAGTGAAAACGGAAGGAAAGGGATAGACTGATTGGGGATGGCGGGAAGGCATCTTAGCATGGAATGTTTTTTGGAGGTCTCGGGAATCCCTGGCCCTCACCGCCCCTGCAAACTGGGGGCTGAGCGCCACCGCCTAGTCCCCAGCTGATCTCCAGAGCCCCTTCCCGCCCCGTGTCCTGGGATTCTTTTGCCGAGACCTACTCCCCGCTGTGAAGTACCCCCCCACCCCCGCCCTGTGGTCCGGGTAGGCAGACGCCCACGGAAGTATGGACTGCGCGAGGACGGGGGTTGGGGTTTGCTAAGTTCTCTTACTACTTCTGAATGTTCCTGACTTAGAGATGAAGCATTGCTTCCAGAGGCAAATAGCAGCAAAGCATTCTCCTGTCCTCAAATGTTAAATTTCTTTAAATTGTTTCTGTTACAGTGGGATAATTTTCCTAATCGTTTAAAGATGAGTCTTCTCATCTTCAAACTCTCTAAGAATAAACTAGCTTCACCTTCAAAAGATCTGTTAAATATCTGGATACTAGTAAAGTTGCTCTAACCGGTAGTAGTTAAGGAGGCAGAGCCAGTTCTTAACTCAGGTTTGGTGCCCGCTGCTGAAAAGTCAACATTGGAGAGACAAATGATGATAGGAAAACAAAGGTTGCTTTATTCATGAAGCCAGCAACCTGGGAGGACGGTGGACCAACGTCTCTGAGACCATCTTCCACATCCAGGAGAAGCGGAAGGATTTTTAATGGGGCGTGTGTGGGAAAAGGGAGAGGCTGTGGGCAGGAGGAGCAGGTAGGTCCCAGGCATGACAGCATGACCCTGAACAGACTTGCTGGCATCTATGGTGGCTGTTTTCTAATGCCTTATCTTCTGGGGAGGTATGGTCTTTCACTCCTCAAGGCCAGTGGTCTGGATATCTCAAGGAAAGTAACTTAGTTCTGCTACAGATTAAGGATTTGGGTCAGCAAGCAAGGAATGCATAAACTTGAGGCAAGTTAATCCTTAAAGCTGGCTGAATTGCTGTTACACTACTTCCAGCATCTTCACTTGCTTTATGTGTTCAGCTACCATTTCCGTGCAGTATAAAGCCCTGGAGTGCCACCACCTGAGATGCATCCTGACTCAGCTACTTAATAGTTACACACACACACACACACACACACACACCCCTCCGGGGCACAATTACTCAAAAATTTTTTAGTTCCATTGATTTTCTAGTCTGAAGTGGAGGAAATAATAGTATCTCCTTATAAGGGTTACTGGCAGATCAATGAGATTAATGAATGTAAAGCACTTAACAGTGCTGGCAATTAAGAAGCCCTCCAGATCTGCGGAGCAGTGGTAATATACCGTACCTCACACCAGTGAGAATGGGGAAAATTAGCAAAGCAGGAAACCACAAATGTTGGAGAGGATGTGGAGAAAGGGGAACCCTCTTGCACTGTTGGGAATGTGAACTGGTGCAGCCACTCTGGAAAACTGTGTGGAGGCTCCTCAAGGAGTTAAAAATAGACCTGCACTATGACCCAGCAATTGCACTGCTGGGGATTTACCCCAAAGATTCAGATGCAGTGAAACGCCGGAATACCTGAACCCCGATGTTTCTAGCAGCAATGTCCACAGTAGCCAAACTGTGGAAGGAGCCTCGGTGCCCATCGAAAGATGAATGGATAAAGAAGATGTGGTCTATGTATACAATGGAATATTCCTCAGCCATTAGAATCAACAAATACCCACCATTTGCTTCGACGGGGATTGAACTGTAGGGTATTATGCTGAGTGAAATAAGTCAATCAGAGAAGGACGAACATTATATCGTCTCATTCATTTGGGGAATATAAAAAATAGTGAAAGGGAATAAGGGGGAAAGGAGAAAAAATGAGTGGGAAATATCAGAAAGGGAGACAGAACATGAATGACTCCTAACTCTGGGGAACGAACTAGGGGTGGTGGAAGGGGAGGTGGGCGGGGGGTGGGGATGATTGGGTGGCAGGCACTGAGGTGGGCACTTGATGGGATGAGCACTGGGTGTTATTCTATATGCTGGCAAATTGAACACCAATAAAAAATAAATTTAATAAAAAAAAGAAAAAAAAAGAATTGGGGGTAGTAATATTTGCCCTGCCTACTTCATAGAGTTATTTTAAGAAATGGAGAAAACAACAGATGTAATCATTATAAGGAGTCTGATTCATTGTTTTCATTATCTTTGGTAATATCTTTCATGGTTGCAGATTCAAGTTCTAGGACTTTGAGGCAGTAGGCTTTTTCATAAAACCAAGGGTAGGAGTTTTGTCTTCTGTGTTCCTAGTGCTGGACCTGGCATTCGGTAGGTACTCATTCAACAGATACTGGCCGTTATGGCCATCTGAGGCACTGGGGATGCAGTGGGGGAATAAAACACACTTGGTCCTTGTCAGCGTGATTCTTGGTATCTAGTGTTTGTTGCACGAATTACTAAGAAACCACCTATTTCATGACTTCCACATCCTTACAAGTTGATCTTTGCTCCATGTGGTAACTTTGACTCCATATCTAGTAGTAGACAAATAACCTTCTTTTTATTTCATCACATTCTATGCCTAAATTATAGTCATAACTCAGGAATCTCTCATTTATTCTGACTCTGTCTCTTTTGCAACACAAAGGTAAAATGTGTTATATATAGTAATCTAATGAGTAGATGTTACTGAAGAGTGAGGATAATGAGGTCCTGGGTATCTCTTCTAGCTTTTCTGCCAGATGGCATAACCATTTTATTTCCAAATAGGATTACTCAAATACCCATTACAGGGTTGCCAAACACTATTACTGCATCCTTCCCACTCAAGGACTAATTACTGTCCCTGTAAGCAGGCTACTACATACGCAGCAATACTTCATGGTACTTCCAGAAAAGGTACTTTTCAAGGTACTTCCAGCATAGTTCATGGTACTTCCCAGAAAAAAAAAAAAAAAGCATTTGAACAACTAGAATAACAGAACTTTAAGCTGGGAAATTATAAAGTGGTGCTGGATTAGTAGAAACCTTTGGCATCTGTACAAAATATTACCAGTCATCCCTGCAGGGCTGCAAGGAGTCTAAACGACTGTACCCTCAGCCAGTTCTTACAGCATTTCTACAGCATTTACAGTGGACATAAGCTCACCAACAAAAATAAAACCCACAAGGAAACAAGGCACAGTGACTAAGAGACAGCAGAAACAACAAAGAAGAGAATCAGATCTACAGAAACTTTATGTATTGAGATGTTCGATACAGAATATATGTAAACAAGATTAATTTTGTATAAATACATGTTTATGTACACAAAATAAGCATGTTTCATGTGTTTTGGAAATAATAATAGAGGGAATCAGAAATATGAGCAAAGCACAAGACACCATTTTTTAAAAGATAAATTTGGAAAAGAACCAAATAGAACTTCTAGAAATGAAAAATATAATTATCTCAATTAAAAACTCTGGCCTGGTTAAACTGATTAGGCCAGTGCACAAGAGAATTAGTAGAGATAGCTCTGAATAAATGCTGAGAGTATAGCACAAAAAGGTAAAGAAATAAAAAATATGGAAGAGAAGAAATTTGTGTGAGGAGGTCTCCCATACTTCTAATCAGATTTCCAAAAGAAGATAGTTAAAGAGGCAATATTTTAACAGATAATGGCTGAGAATTTTCCAGACTTTTTAAGATATACAAATCCTCAATTTTAGGATGAACAATAGACCCCAAATAAGATAAATAAGAAGGGTGGTTGAGGGGGATCCCTGGGTGGCTCAGCGGTTTAGTGCCTGCCTTCAGCCCAGGGCATGGTCCTGGAGTCCCGGGATCGAGTCCCACATCAGGCTCCCTGCATGGAGCCTGCTTCTCCCTCTGCCTGTGTCTCTGGCTCTCTCTCTGTCTTTCTCTCTCTCTGTTTGTCTCTCATGAATAAATAAATAAAATATTAAAAAAAAAAAAAAAAGAAGGGTGGTTGGCTGGCTCAGTCAGTGGAGCAGGTAACTCTTGATCCTGGGGTTCTGAGATCAA